AAGTAATGCAAAATAATAATTTAAAAGTATGAGATGAAGATAAAATAATATTTTATCCTAGAATCAATAAGAAGAAACTGGAGTTCATTGAATGGGAGAGTGACATTTAGGAAATTCACTTTGGTTTGCTGACAAACAATGGATCAGACAGGGGAGACCGTCCTGGGGTGGGGAGACCTTCCTGGGGCAGGGAGACCTTCCAGGAAGCTCTTGGAACAGTCCAGGAATGAGGTGCTGAGGACCTGCATCATGGCAACTGAGTCAGGGGAAGATACTGTGGACATAGAAATGGCAAGATTTGGTAATGGATTGGCTGTGTGGGGGGAGGGGCAAGTGAGAAGCTAGAAAGGTAACACCAGGGTAGAGAACCTAGTGACTAAGGTGTAGGTCTACTCAACAGACATTGGGAAGATCAGAGCAGCGGTTGATTTGGGGAAAGGTTTAGTGCATTCTGTGTTTGGGACATTGAGATTTAGGATTGGGGATGAATATGTAGAAGAGGACATTATTTACATTAAACCTAGGGAACTGGTGAAGTTACCGAGTGAGGGAGTGTACAAAGAGAATGGAAGAGGACCTAGGAGAGAACCTTGGGAAACGCCCACAGCTGGTGGTTTCAGACACCTGAGCAGCACAAAGAAGCCTGAGGAGGACTAGAGCAGGGGTAGGGGGCAAAGCAGGAAAGGGCAGTGTCACAGTAAACACACACAGGAAATGGTGTCCAGGAGGAGAGGGTGGCCAGTGATGTCAGATCCTGCAAAGAGAACCCAAAAGGATGAGTACTGAGGGGAAAAGACCATTAGATTTGTCTACTTAAAAAACACCGATAACTTTGAGGAGGGCAGTTTCAACTGAGTGATGAGTGAAGAGTGTGCAGGACTTTGAGGACCTGGGAGACTGGAAAGGTTGTATTGTGTTCCACAGAAATAAGGACATTCAGAAGGGATAGGCTTGGGAGAACAGATCATAATTCCAACCTATCCATATCTGCTCATTCTGTGCCATTTATTCTTTCTTGCTGAAATGATGTGTGTATATTTGTGTTTGTGTTTGTACATGTGGTGACCTACAGACCATCACACGAGAGTACAGAGCCCTCTACTGTGGTGATACAAGGGACAAGGGTTGTGGCCCCTGGGGAGGGTAGAATGTGGAAATTTGCCTGTAAATCTAATGCAGGTGAATAGGTTTGGTTAGGGTGTGACCACACTGAAGGGTCAACATCAGGTGCAGCAAGGGAAGGCCTGCCATTAGAAGGGGGTAGAATGGGGGACTGAATGTGAAGGGGAAGGTATAGTTGTATGGGAGATAAGCCAAGGATTGGCTTAGGGGGAAGATGGGGGGGTGCATCTTATCTTCTTGACTTGGGATAATTCCATGGCCTACGTAGCCCCCACTTAGGAGACTAAATGGTTTAAATTGATCTTATTTTCTGCTTATTATGCCTTGCATTGGCTTAAACACATATTCTCATCTCTCTGTTCTTTTTATTTGTTATCATCACTCAGTAATATTCCATTTCAGTCACAGACCACAGTTTGTTCAGCCATCACCTAATTAATGGGTAGCCATTTTGGTTTTTTTTTGTTCTTTGTTACTATAAGAAGTGCTGCCACAGAGAGGGGTATGTACAGGAGACTTCCCTTTGTCTTTTACCTCTTGCACGTGTATTCCTAGTACTGGTATCTGTGGGTCAAAGTGTTTGTAGTCTGGTGATTTTTAGGAATAATTTCCTATTGTTTTAAAGAATGACTGGGCCAATTCATGGCTCTTCCTAAAACAATCTCAACAATATTTCTCATTTTTTTCCTTTGCCATCTTTGTAAATATGATAGCTGTGAACTGGAACCACAGAATTTAAGTTTGCATGCCTCATGTTTATTATTAGTGATTTAGAATAGTCTTTGATGTGATTTTTGATGCCTTGTTTTCTCCTTTTGAAAACTGCCTGGTCACATCCTTTGACCATTTGTCTATTGAGGAATAGATCTTGTCCTTTTATATTTGTATCAGTTTCCTATACGTCTTGTACATCAGATTGTTCTGAGATATATTTGCTGCAATGGTTCTCTCCCCACCCCCACCTGCCCCAATCAATGGCTTCTAACTCTATTGGCCTTGATTTTCATCGTGTATTTCTGTTTTATGTAATTGAAATGGGATGGTCCATGATCACTACTCTATTTTAGTTCGGAATTCTCCTGCTAGCCATTGTTGTATGAGGTATCTATTTCTAGTTTCTTGATTTCTTGGTGATGTTACCTTTTGCATTTAAATCATAAATCCACTCAGAGTTTAGTGAGGAATATATATATTGTAAGATCCTGGTATGAACCTAATTTCTGCCCGGCCAATTTCCAATTTTTTTTGGAAGTTTTTGTTAAATAAGAATTTTTTATTCCAGTAGGTGGTGTCCTTGAATTTTTTTTTTTAGCTTTAAGCTGTTGGGTTCTCTTATTTATGGGTTTCACTGACCTGATCTATTGCATTTTTTACCTATTTGCACTTTTCTAATTTTCTTATTTTTTTAGCCACTATTAAATTGTTTTTATGTCTTCTGGTTAATGGCATATTTTTCTATTTAATATTTCTCTAGATCAACCTTGTTATGATTTTGTACAGTTCTATAAAATAACCCCTTGGTAGTCTGCTATGGCACTAAATATGTGAATGAATTCATTGAGATAGTATCTTCATCATTATTATATTCTTTTGGCCCAACCATGAACAATTATCTGTCCAATTCTTTAAGTGTTGATTTCTATAAAGAGTGTTTTGAAATTATAGTCATATAAATCTTGAACTTAAGTAGATTCCAAGATTATTGAAAAAAAACATTTTTTCCTGTTTGGAAGGGAATTTACTTTTCTATCTCCTCTTGTTGGGTTTTGTTAGTAATATATAGAGAATCTGATAATTCTGCTGTTTTTAGGTTTCAATGATCTTTTATGTTGATGTTAGCTTTTTAGGATTCTATAAGTAAACAATTATATCTCCTGTAAAGAGATATTTTCCTCCTCTTTGCTCATATTTATTTCCTCACTTTTTCTTGTCTTATTCTCTGTACCTAAAATTTCTAGAAGTATATCAAATTATAATGTTGACATTTGATATATTTACTTTATTCCCAATCTTATTGGAAAGGCTTCTAGTATGTCTCAATTACAAATAATGCTAGCTCTTAGACTTAGATAGATACTATTTATCATATAAAGGGAAGGTCCACTTTATTTCTGTGTTTTTAGTGCTTTTCACTTCTACTTACACAATCATGTGATTTTTTTTTTTTTAATGCTTACAATACCTGTGACTTTCTAAACCAAAACATCGCTCCGTTGTCTATGCTTTTCATATATGTGTTGTTTCCCTGTTTGGATGTAAGCTCCTTGAGGGCAGGGCTTGGCAAACACTAAATGCTCAATTAACACTTTTTTAATTCCTTCACCTTGTTAGGAATCTGATTTGTTATGTTTATGATTTCCCTAATGCTGAGGCATCCCTGTGTTTCTGATATAAATCCGTCTGGGTCAGAGTGAATCATCCTTACTAGATGACTTCTGAGGTCCTTTTCCAAAGGGAAAATTCAGTGACTATTGTTTTAAACTCATTGTTAATATTTTATTCAATATTTTAAAATCAATATTCATTAGTACCATTGGTCTGTAGTTTTCTTTCTCTATTTTATATCTCCATGATGTAGGGCTATCAGAATCACATTTGTCTTAAAGAAATTTGGTGACTATCTTCTATCTCTATTTAGGAATTTATGAGGTTGGAGTTAATTTTCTTTGAATGTTTAATAAAATTCACTTACAAGTCCATTTATACCAGGAAATGTTTTCTTGGTGAGTTCATTTATACTTTGTTCAATTTTTGCATCTGAGATTGTGTCATTTAAATATTGATTTCTTATTCTGTTAATCTGGTTATTCCATGTTTTTGTAAATATTAATCAATTTTATTTGAGTTTTTGGTGTAATTGGCCAATATTAGAGTAAAATAATTCCTAAAAATTTCCATTTTTTCTTCTTCATCTATTGCAAATTTTCCTTTTTCCTTTTGGTAATTTGGTTTTCCTGTCTTTTGAACAACTAAATCAGTTGGTGTTTTGCCTATTTAATTAGTATTTTTATAAAACCGGCTCTTAATGTTTTTTATCAACTCGATGACTTTTCTTTTGTTTGAAAATTTGTTTATGTCTTTGGTTTTTAGAATTCATATTTTTATGATTATTTAGATTTGTGTTGCTTTTCTAGTGTTTGTTTTTAAGCTACATGCTTAATTCACTGATACTTTCTTACTCTCTTTTGTTGATGAAAGTGTTTAGAGAAATAAAATTCCCCTTAAGGACTGCTTTGGCTGCATCCCAAAAGTTCTGGTATGCTCTCTTACTGTTATTTATTATTCCCATGATTTGTCCTTTGGCCTACTCATTCTGTAGCATTCCATTATTTAGTCTTCAGGTTAGTATGAATCCTTTCTTCAAACTCCTTTTGTTGATTCTAATCTTATTATGTTGTGATACATAGAGTAAGTTTGTATGTTCTTTTCTTCTTTGTTTATGAGTTCTTCAAGTCCTAGCACGTAATCAGTTCTTGTAAGGGTGGGATGCAAAGCTGAGAAACATGTATATTCCTCTTGATTCTCAGCCAGCAACTGTTAGAGTTTGATCATATTCGCTTTCCCTAAAATCCCCTCCAGACCCTGAATTTCTTTCTTATCTTTCTGTTAGGCTTGCCTTGGTCTGAAATGGTCACATTGGAATCCCCATTAATTACTGTTTTATTGTCTTATTAGTTCAGGACTTTTCCAAACCCCCTAGAATGAAGCCATCCCCTGTTCTCAGGCCCCTCCCAGCCCTGACATCCTTTGTTCTCAGGCCCCTCCCAGCCCTAACATTCTGTACTGGATTATGGATTAGATGGGTAGCTACAGCCCCAGACACCTGACTTTAGCCCCTGAGAGTTCTCATTCTCTGCTCTCTCTGTTTCCTCCCGCAGGCCTTGGGCACCATTGCGGCAGTACCCATTAAAGTTCCTCAGGTCAGCTCCTTGCACAGGTTGGCGGGGCAAGGACCAGCAGCGCTACCTCAGGTAAAAGGAGAAGACTTTCTTTTTGTGCATGTATTTTTACCCTTTCCCTCGATGGCCACCTTGGTGATAGGACCCCTCACCATGTAGCCTCTGGGAGTCACCCTGTTCCTGCCTTTTCCTTTGAACCTTGGAGAATGGGTGTTATTCCCAGACTTTGCCATATCAGGGGGGATAAGAAAGGAGCTGAACCCTCAATGATGCAGCAAAAGAGCTGAGAAAGCCCAGCAAAGGCTCTGAGGTGGAAGTGTTGCCTAGTGGGCAGAGCTAAGACTCATGGCTTTAAGGTCACCAACACCAACCCTTTCATTTCACAAAAGAGAACACTGAGTCTGGAGTGGAGAAGTCATTAATGTCACACATGCACCCAGTCACAAAGCCTGGATTTACACTTTAGGGTCCACTCTTAAATTTGTTCCTCTCTCCCTTATGCCAAGCTCTCCCCAGCTGGAGGGGAGGAGAGGGGGCTTGGAATGAAGGTGGCTCCCCTTAGGAGCTGAAAGGACCTTTAAGGTGACTTACAGAGGGACATAGAAGGAAGTTGAGGTTCAGAAAGGCAAAGCAAATGCCCTCTGGTCACACTGTCAGAGCTGGATCCAGATTGAGGGCTTCTAACTCCAAATCAATCACTCTGTTCACGGGGTCACCATTTAATTTTGTCTAGTCCCCATGGCCAGACTGGCCCCTTAGGAATGGGCATCTCCCTCCTCCTTCCCTATCCTGGGAGATGACTTGTAGGCTTTTGGAAGGGAGATGTGGGCTGCTGTGGCAGATTGTGTGCCCACAACGTCACATCTGTTTCTTCTGCCCATCACCCATGAGAACCCGACCTGTGACTCTAGCCACATCTATAGTCCTGGAGGCTGTATGGGTATGGATATGGCTATGGGCATGTACATGCATGTGCTCATCTGCTCGTGTGTCTATGTGGGTGTGAGGTTGTGTATTGGTGGGGAAGGGGGTGTTGATAGATGTCTGCTCGCCTCAGATCCCTCCTGTAGCTTCAAGGAGCCAGAGGTGGCTCTGGGGACCCCTGCATTTAGGACCTGGTCACCTATCTCATTCACTAGGTCCCTGGCCCTGCTTCTCCCTTCTGCTGGGGAGGAAGCCTAATGTGATACAAACAATTCTGGGTGACAAGCTGGGAAAGCTACACTCTGAGGGCTTCCCAGGTCCCTCATTTTCAGTCCCGTGACTCTAGCTTGACAAGGAAAAAAAATATGAAACCCTGGACAAGTCGTTTCCATACTCTGGACCTGTTTCCTCATGTGGAAAATGACAACATGAATTCCTGCCTTGCCTGCACTGCAAGGCTATCGCAAGCCTCAAAGGAGGAAATGTGTGTAAGAGCCCCTGTGCACCCATGGGAGCAGTGATGTTCAGTTGTATCTGACTTCACATAACCCCATGGACAGGTTTTCTCAGCAAGAATACTGGAGTGGTTTGCCATTTCCTTGTCCAGTGTGCTCCCATTTTACAGATGAAGAACTGAGGCGAATAAGGGCTAAATGACTTGCCCAGGGTCACATAACTAGTGTCTGAGGCTGGATTTGAACTCAAGTCTTCCTGACTCCAGGCCCAGTGCTCTATCCACTGTACCAGTCAGCTGTCCAATGATGATGATACAGCAGGTTTACAAAGAACCTTCTCCACAACAGCCGTGGGAAGTTGACAGCATAGTGTGAGCCTGGTTATCTTGTTGCATAGTGGAAAGAGCCCCCTACCCGTAGCCACGGGACCTGAGTTCAAATCCTAGCGAGCTGTGTGACTTTGGGCCAGCTGATCATCTTAAAGGGATCTCAGATGCCTCTCAATGCACAATCCCAGTGTCCTGTGACTGCATTTTACAAGTGTGACGTTAAATCACTGAGGTCCCCCAATCAGCTCAAGCCTAATCCTGTGACTCTTTGTCCTTCGTGACTCTGCCTCTCAGCCTCCTAAGACACAACAGCCCTATGAAAGGAAGACTGAGTCACTCTGGGCAAGCAGTCACAAGCATTTAATTAACTGTTGACTGCATGCCAAGCACTGGGGATACTTAACTCAAAAGGAAGCAGTGTCTGCCCTCAAGGGGCTTACATTCTAATGGGGAGGAAGAGACAAAATGCACATGTAGAAGCACGTGGAGTCTATGAGAAATGAATACGAGCTCATGTGGGAGGAGGAAGAGGAGATGCCAGCTTTGGGGGCTCAGGACAGTCGTCCTGTAGAAGGAGGGGTTTGAGGTGGGTCCTGAAAGACATGAGGGATTCTGAGAGGCACTGGGATGGAGGCTCATGGGTGAAGACCAGCCAGGAGCCAGCATTGGCTGGATCATCGATTACACGGAAGGAGTCAAGTGTAAGAAGGCTGGTCTAATAGGAAGGAGCCAAGTTGTGCAGGGCTTGAAATGCCAAAAAAAAGTTTGCACCTCCTATGAGAATGGGAGATTCCTGAGCATAGAGACTTCCTCCCCACTTTCCTTGTTTTCCTAGCCCTCAGAACCCCACTGGACGCATAATAAAAACCAATGCTTATTGGCTAATTAGCATTTGATCCTAGATGTTAAAGGGAGTCCCATGTTCAAGGCCTAATGGTTGGTACAGACACCCCTTCTGTGCCAGGGGGATGGGGTAGTCAAGGGAGGCTGCCTGGAAGAGGGGAACTAGGGCTAGATCCTGAAAAATGAGGGAAAGAGAGGCTTCCTACCAACTGGAGGCTGGGAGATGTGTGCCCATTTGGTCACTGCATACCAATTGGGAAGATTTTCCTTGGAAAAACCTCCAAGAATTATCCTGCTCCCTCCTACAGCTCTTGCCTGGAGTGGCACTGAGTTATAAATGATCGCCAAGTCACTTGGTGTGCTGTGGAATCAATGCTAAATGGGAAAACCAACAAATATTAATTATGAGATTGCTATTCAGTGCAAACAGTAATTAGATCTTGAAGCCTCCTTGTCCCCAACAGCCGGCAGCCCCAGGAGTCCATTCTCAACAGCCCTGCCAAGCTGAGAATCTTAGAAGCAAAAATCTCGGCCTCAGACTCATGGCAGCAAAGGTTCTTGGGATCACATGTGCTCAAAGTCTGTGGCTCCTTCAGGCTTAGAATCATCAACTTCTCCCCTCCCTCATCCTGTCCCTAGAAGCAGCCTCGGCAGATCATGGCATCTTCAGGCAGAAACTCGGTGTCTTAGGAGACCACAGGTCTTAAGGGAGGGACTTGGTGTCTTAGGGGTCAACAGAATCTTTTTTTTAAATTCATTTATTTGGATTTATCAACCATCATTTCCATAAGCTTTTGAGTTTTAAATTTTTCTTCCCCCTCCCTCCCCATCTCCCTCCTCAAGATGGCGTGCAATCTGATATAGGCTATCCATATATATTCCTATTAAACATATGTTCACATTAGTGATGTTGTAAGAATTAGAACCAATGGGAGGAACCATCAGAAAGAGGAAACAAAACTCAACAGAAGAAAAAAAAATAGCAAATAGTATGCTTCGATCTGCATTCAAACTCCATAATTCTTTCTTGGAGGCTGATAGCATTTTCCATCATTAAGCCTTTGGAAATGTCTTAGATCCTTGCATTGCTGGGAAGGGTTAAATTTATCAATATTAATCATTGCACAACGTAGCTGTTACTGTGTACAACGTTCTCTTGGTTCTGCTCACTTCACTCAGCGTCAGATCATACAAGTCTTTCCAGGTTTTTCTGAAGTCAGCCTGCTCATCATTTCTTATAGCACAATAGTATTCCATTACATTCATATACCACAACTTGTTCAGCCATTCCTCAATTGATGGGCATCCTCTTAATTTCCAATTCTTTGCCACCACAGACAGAGCAGCTATAAATATTTTTATACATGTGGGTTCTTTTCCTGTTTTTTTAATGATCTCTTTGGAATATGGCCCTAGAAGTGCTACTGCTGGGTCAAAGGATATGCACATTTTTATAGCCCTTTGGATATAGTTCCAAATTGCTCTCCAAAATGTTCAGATCATTTCACAACTCCACCAGCAATGCATTAGTGTTCCAATTTTCCCACATCTTCTCCAACATTTATCATTTTCCTGTTTTGTCATGTTGGCCAATCTGATAGGTGTGAAGTGGTACCTCAGAGTTGTTTTGATTTGCATTTCTCTAATCAATAGTGATTTAGAACATTTTTTTCACATGATTATAAATGGCTTTAATTTCTTCATCTGAGGAACTGCCTGTTTATATCCTTTGACCATTTATCAACTGGGGAATGACTTGTATTCTTATAAATTTGACTTAATTCTCTCTATATTTTAGAAATGAGGCCCTTATCAGAGACACTGGTTGTAAAAATTCTTTCCCAGTTTTCTGCTTTCCTTCTGATGTTGTTTGCATTGACTTTGTGCAAAAACTTTTCAATTTAATGTAATCAAAGTTATCCATTTTGCATTTTGTAATGTTCTCTATCTCCTGTTTGGTCATGAATTCTTCTGTTTTCCATAAATCTGATAGGTAAACTATGCTTGCTCTCCCAGTTTGCTTATAGTATCAGCCTTTATATCTAAATCATGAATCCTTTTTGACTTTATTTTGGTATATGGTGTGAGATTTTGGTCTATGCCTAGTTTCTGCCATATTCTTTTCCAGTTTTCCCAGCAGTTTTTGTCAAAATAGTGAGTTCTTATCCCAGAATCTGGGGTCTTTGCATTTATCAAATGGTAGATTACTATAGTCATTGACTACTGTGTCTTGCATACCTAACCTATTCCACTGATCCACCACTCTATTTCTTAGCCAGCACCAAGCAGTTTTGATGATTGCTTCTTTATGGGACAACAGAATCTTAAGACAGGGACTTGATGTTTTAGGGGACCACAGAGTCTTAAGACAGGAACTTGGTGTCTTGGACTGTGGAACCACACATCTTTGGCTATGAAAGACAGCAACTGGGGCCAAGGGGGGTAGACCTCTCCACACTTTAGGGACAGTTCATGAATTATTGCAGTGGGGAAGAAAGCTGTCTGGTGGCTGGTCCTCTGTTGGGAGAATGTTTCCAAAGTGACCTGGGCAGGTCCTTGGTGACCACCATGACCTGTGGGAAGGCCATGACTTGAAGTTTGTATATTGTGAGCTATAGAATCACAGAACTGGGAAAGAGGGATTGTTTAATGTTTGTATTTATATCCCGTGTGCTCAGTACAGTGCTTGGTGCTTGATAAATGCTTGTTGACTGACTGACTGACGCAGGTGTTTAATAAAAGTTTGTGGGTTGATTGATTAAAAGAGAGCCCATCAGAGGTGGGAAAAAACTGAAAACATGATATGTAAGAGCTGGGCCTTAGAGATCATCTAAGAGGTGGCACAGTGGATAGAATGTGGAACTAGAGTCAGGAGGGCCTGAGTTCAAATCCTGTTTCAGAAATTTAGAAGCTGGTTGAGTCTGTGCAACTCACTCAACCTCTCTGTGCCTCAATTTCCCCATCTCACCCAGCTCCTGGGAGGATCAAATGAGTTAAAATTTTCAAGGGCTGTGGAAATTCCAGTTCTTCTTCATCATCACCTAGTCCACTAGTCCAATCCTCTCATTTTCTAGATGAGGTAACTGAGGTCCCGAGATTTGCCTTAGGTCACTTAGAGTCAGGACTCGAATCTGTCTGGCTTCCTGTCTCTTGCTCTGCTCCCTTGAGGAGATATCTGGTGGCTTAGACACATGTAGTCCTGGGAAAGTCATTTGCCCACTGCCTGCCTCAGTTTCCTCAACTGGGAAATGGGGATAATAATAGCACCTATCTCCCAGGGTTGCTCTGAAGCTCAAATGAGCTAAATATTTGCAGGAAGCCGTTTGCTCAGTGTCTGGCACATACTGGACACTTAATAAACGCGTGTTCGCTTTCCTTCCATTCCTACCCGCTGCCTTCTCCTTTGGGCAAAGCTCTGAGCCCCAAAGAACGCCCTCACAGTTCCCAGCCTTGGCCACAAGGGGGCAGCCTTTGGTGGCTCAGTGGTCGCTGTCCACAGAGGTTAGGACCTGCCAGGAGGGGACCGGAGGCTTGTGAGCCTCACAGTGCTAGGGGGAGCGCAGCCTGGCTGGGCTGATGGGCAGAGATGATGTGGCCCAGAAGGCTGCAGCTCCATCAGTACTTTGTGAGAGCACCACGGGATTGCTGAGATCAGCACTGCCTGTCGAGGCCGGGAGCAGAATGCTGCCGCAGCCTTGGCAACCGGGTCGGTGACGAGCTGGAAAGGCTCCCAGGGAGTTCAGAGCACTGTCCGGACAGCGTCTGACCCAGACTGAGAATCCAGACTGCTTGGTTCTTCTACTCTTCTGCCGAGTCACTCTGGGACCCTGGGCCAACTGTTTCCCTCCTCTGGGACTGTTTTCTCTTCTGTAAAAACAAGCAGGTGAGAACCAGGCGTTCTCTGAGATTCCTCCCTCCTTGAGGTTCCCATGTTCTAAGGTCCCTGGACAGGCCCCTCTCCTTTTCAGGACTCACGTCACTCAAAAAACAAACTGTGGTTAAATGCACCCTTGGCACAGCTTGGCTCCCTGGCCTTGGGAAAGCGTCTTCCCCTCTGTGGGTCTTACTTTCCTCCTCTGTAAAAGGAGGGGATTTGACAGGATGAGTTCAAAGACTCAAATGAGATCTCCTTGGTAAAAAGCACTTAGCACAGTGCCTGGCACATAATAGGTGCTATGGAAATGCTTATTTCCTCCCTCCAAGGCTCCTGCCAACTCCAAGCTCTGTTTTTTTTTAATTTGTAGAGATTGGCTGCACCTGGGAGCATGGCCCCTTCCCAGACCCACCTGCATCCTCGAGTGTCTAGTGGTTCCCAGGGCATGGTCTAGGTCATACCTAGGGTCCCTATCCCTCCTGTTTCCTCTTCTTCTGCTCAGATGGTCCTTCCTGGCCCCAACTCCCAGTGCATGTCTTTTTTTTTTTTTTCAAGTCATTACTGCTGATTACTAAAACTAAAGTTTTATTATTAATAATATTAAGTCAGATTCATAGGGGAGAGCACTTCCCACACCCTGACCCTCTGAAAGTGAGGGTTACAAAGGTCATTATCACTACGGGAGGCATTGGGCCCAGAGGAGAATGTGAGGGACTGAGAGGCAGGGAGCCCCGGGTTCAAGTCTGACTTCTGGTATTTGTAAGCTCTGTGGTCCTAGTCAGGACCCTTGACCTCTCTGAGATTTGCCAATCTATAAAATGGGGGTTGCATCAATGACACTCCCATCCTCATCGGGATCCTGTGAGGGTCAGGCAAGAGTCAGGTGAGGATTAGGTTTAGGATAAAGTACTTTACAAACATGGTTTATTTTTCCTTTGCTATTATTAATTTGTGGAACCATAATATAATTGGTATGTGGTGCTCCCCACTAAGGAGGTGGTCTCCATCAATGGGAGGGGGTAGACTAGATCCCCCTAACAGTCTGTGTTCTGATGCCCACCTTGCTCTGACATCGATGGCATTAGGCAGGCTGGCCCCCCAATCCATCAGGCAAATCACAGCCAGAATAAGGTCTTTCATGTAAACCAGGCCCTGCTATTTTCTGCTACAAACTCATCAATGACTCCCAATGTTCCCAATCAATCAGAAAACATCTATTAAGTATCTACTGTATACCAGACATACTCTAGGGGCTGGGGATGCGAGCAAGTATAAAGAATGAAGCAATCTCTATTTACAGGCAACTTACACTCTTGGGCAGCTGGGAGGTGCAGAGGCTGGACCTCTGGGCCTGGTGTCAGGAAGACTGAGTTTCAATCCCACTTCAGACACCTAGCAGCTGTCTGACCCTGGACATATCACAATCTCTCTGAGCCTCCATTTTCTTATCTATAGAGACAATAGTAACACTTCCTTCACAGGGTTGTTGTAAAGTTCATTTGAATTAACCTAGGGGAAAGTGCTTTTCAAGCCTTGAAGCTCTGTATAAATGTGCACTGTTATTGTTTTAAGGGAGCAGATAAGCAGAGACTAAAAATAAAGAGACTAAGTCTGCTGGAAGTGAAGTAGCTGTACTCCAGGCAGTGTGGGAGAGAGGGAGGGGGGAGCACATGGAGGATCAGGATAGGGGTTCATGCACAAGGTGGGGCTTGAAGAAAGAGGGGAACTGTGGGAGACTGAGGTGAAGAAGGGGTGCCTTCCTGGCATGAAGGATGGCCAGTGCAAAAGCATGGAGATGGGAGATCCCTGTGTGAGAAGCCCCAGATGGGCCAGTGTGGCAGGATCATAGAGTTCATGGAGAATAGTTTGGATGAGAGGAAAGAGAAGTGGAGGAAGGATAATGAGAGATGAGGGTTTGGCTGGATCAGAGGAGGAAGGAGAGGAATGTTGAAAGAGTGGGTTGGAGTGTGCCAAGGAAATTTCAGGCTCTTGCTTGTCATTTAAGGACCTCCACGAGCTGGCACCACCCTCCCCTCTGCCTATTCATGGCTCTCGCCCAGACTGAATGACTGTATCCCCTTACATCCCTTGTGCTCTCCAGCCTCTTTGCCTTTGCGCCTCGGTTCCCGACTCCTCAACTGCCCTCTCTGCCATGGTCAGGACCTTGTTGGCTCCTGCTGGCCCCTTGATGGGTGCTTACAAATGCAGAATGCTTTGTTGATCTGCTCCCATGGGTGAGTATGGCTCTACCTTTCCCCAGGTCAGGCCAAAGACCCTGATTCCCGACAGCCTTCCCATCTCCCCATGCCGAGAGCGCCCATCCAAGCAGACACCAAGCTTCCAGAAGGCCACTGTCGTCAGCATCAAAAACCCCAGCCCGGCCCTCCCCACCGCCAACAACACCGTCAGCCAACCTGTGGCGGAGCCTGCTGCCCTCACCTCCCCCCTGAGTGGGGCTGGGGTCGCCTACGCCATCATCTCCACGTCCCCCAGCAATGCCGCCTCTCCCATCAAACCCAGCTCTACCCCTGCCACCGCTGCTGCCGCCGTCTCCATGGTCAGCGACAGCATCAAAGTCCAGCCTCTCCTCATCAGTGCCGACAACAAAGTGAGTGAGCCCCGGCTGGACATGGAACCCCGCTTGCCTGCCACTTGCCTGTCTGCTTGGGGGCCATATGGGGGAAGGAGCCTGGGGGAGGTGGGCAGAAGGGCAGAGGGGTCGGAGATGCAATACTGAGAGAGCACCAATTGGGAGCTTTTGACCCAGAAGACCTGGGTTCAAATCCTGCCTGAAGTCTAGAGATTGTGCTTTAGTTCTGCTGGATAGAGAGCTGAACACACTTTTGTACACAAGGATGCAGGGTTGAAGAGGTCACATACTGGGGATGTGACCTCTTCAAGAGAGGCTTGTACTCACTATGGTGTGCCACTATGAGTACAGACTTCTCCCAAGTACAGAGAGTGCAAGCCTAGAGCCTAGAACAGTCAGAGCGGGTTGGTGGATGGGCCTTAGTCTGGAGAGTGTAAGAGCTGAGGGGCCTTAGGGTGCGCCTCATCATGGTGGTCCTTGCCTTCATTCCAGGTCATCATCATTCAGCCTCAAGTTCAGACCCAGCCCAACAGCAAGGCAGAGGCGCCAAAGCCTCCAGAAGAGTTGTCTCAGGGAGCCCAGGCCTCTAAAAGGAAGAAAGAGGCAGCTCCTGATGTCCAGGAGAATCCAGAGGTCAGTGGGCCCCAGGCTGTGTCAGGGGACTCCTCTTCTTCCTCCCCGCCCCTACTGGAGTCACCAGGAAGAGAGAGAGGAGGATGGGAGGCTGAGACTGTGAAGTTCTGTCCCCCTCCCCCCACGCCTGACCTTCCCGCTTCTGAGCCATCAGGCTGCTGATCAGGGAGGAAGGGCTCTGGCACCTGCTGGAGCCTGCCTGCTCTGTAGATACTCAAGAACAGACCTGGCAGTCACCAGTGCTCGGCCAGCAGGGCCCCTCCCTCCTTTCCTTGCCTGTGGCCCCTAGCCCCCTGTAAAACCCTGCCCCCAACTCTTACAAACTGGCAACTTCAAGCCAATGAGGGAGTAGTTCTTGGGGAATCCTTGCCCTCTTTCCCTAGCCTGGGGGTTCCCTCTTCCAGAGCACATCACAGAACCTCTGCGACGTGGAGACAGATGTGGAGGGTCCCTGTGTCCCCACAGGTTGTCACCCTGAAGCCAATCAGGGGATGCCCATGTTGGAACTTATCTAGATTGCTTCCACACTCTGAGATTTTCTAGGGTGTTTGGCCCTGCCAGCCAGGGTCTAGGACCCCAACCAGCTCTGACCTTCCCTGTCCTAGGACTCCTCCCAGCTCTGATATTCCCTGTTCTAAGGCTTCTCCCGGCTCATCAGGGTTTTATTGGCCTCAGAACTGTTTCATCCCAATGTCTCCCAGGCCTGTTGGTTATCATGGGTGGCGGGGGGCACGCCCGGTCATCATTGCACTTATGGTGATCAAGTCTTACCTCAGGTCTTTTTTCCCTCCTATAACCTGAACCTTCAGGGAAAGTTCCTGAGTCAGTTTTCTTTGTTTCTTTAAAGTAAATTCTGGTTGATTATTGTGCATGTATACAATTAGTGTAATTACAGCTAATGACATAATTAGTGTAAATTCATTTAATGACTTAAATAGAACTTGCAATTACAACATAGAATGGCCTTGTAAAAATTCTTATGAAAGTTTATTTTTCTGAGGGAGCTGTGCACTCTGCATATGTGTGCAAAAAAGAGGGAGAGAGGGAGAGAAAGAGAGACAGAGACAGAGAGAGACATAGAGACACAGAGAGAGAGGAGTGAGGGAGAACTGGAGAGAGAAGGAGACAGGCAGACAGAAAGACAGAGAGAGACAGAGACAGAAAGAGACAGAGACAGAGAGAGGGAGAGAAA